ACACACACACACACACAGAGCCTCCTTCAATTAGTCTTTTTATCAGTAGACAGTCCTCCCTCTGTCTTCCTTCAAGTCGATGGAAATTTCCCATGGCTGTTCGAGAGGTTACCATAACCCATCTATATGACATCTGGCATCTACAAACTGTTTCCACTGACACAGGCCTTCCTTTCAGCGTGCCAAGTGTAGTAAAACACTGAGACTTCTGTCCTCCTCTGCCCCTATCCTCAGATACTGTGACAAAGTGGTTGTGGTTGTATGAATGGTGAGCCATCAGTTTGCAAGCAGGCCTGACTAACAGCAAAGTAGTTTGTAGTATTACATCTCATCAGTCCAGATTTTTGTTGTTAGGCAGAAATGGACATGGTTCATAAGATAATTAGATGCAGACAATAACAAAACCAAAGAACAAAAAAAAAAAACTACAATACAGTGTATCGTTAGGTGTTTACACCCACAATGTCAGTTTCTTCTTCCTGTTAATTCATACAGAAGAACGACAAAATAAGGAATACATCATTTGAAATGAGTTTACAGTAAAGCCGAGATAACGTTTTGCAGCTGGCACTATTCTGTATAGTCAGGACTGGACTATAGCTTGATGGTGACTGATGGAGTCCAGAGGAATCTGTAACCCCAGAGACACACAGAAGGCTTTATAAATAACCATAGCATGTCCTCTGAGGGTTGGGGAATGAGAATGGTCAGTGGATAATGGAGAGAGGAAAGGAAGAGAGGGTGAGGACACAAGAGCAGTAAACTGAAGAAAGGAAGGAAGAGAGAGAGCTGGCCGAAGACCGAGAGAGAGAAAGGGCTTCTCTGAGAGTGTAACTCCCATCTGAGTTGTAATATTCTCACAGCACAACTCTTTGTGACATTATTAAATTAAAATGTTTACTCTAATTGACAAGGCACAGAGGAATGAGCTGTGGGAAACAAAGATCCCAAGATCCCTGACACGATAAGTCTCCATGGGCAACGCATGCACGCAGACACAAAGGCAGAGAAACATACAGTACATGCACACGAAGAAGGACATATAACACCATACACAACCGGCACGCACGGACTCACACTGGCGACTTCTTAAAACAATCTCTACCCACTCGGCCTTCATTTTGCAGTGTCACTCTGCATGAAGTCACACTCGCAGCTGCGGCTGGGCACTTGCGCATTAAGAGGGAGGGTTTAAATAAAGAGGCAAACTGTGGGGTGCCCTCGCCACGAGCAGAAAAACATCTTTTACAATGGACACGGACAGACGCCTTGCTGACTTATATTGTGTGCCATTTCCCCTAAGTGCAAAACATCCATAGGATTAAAATTGACATACGTAGGGAAGTTAAATTATATAAGTTTACTCCATTCTCCTGCATGTGTGCTTGATTAATCATTTAGTCTATGAAAGATCGAAAAGTAGTGAAAAGCACCCATGAAACACTCCCACAGGCCGAGGTGATGTCTTCAAATTGCTTGATTTCCTTTACTATCATATATGATAAAAAGAAATACCAGCAAATGTTTGTAATTCTTCTTTAAAAAAGACAGAAATTAATAATCAATTCTCAAAATAGCTGCACAGAGAACACAGCAAGGCTGCAGGGGCTGGAGAAAGACTGAGCCATGTACTTACTCAAGAATGATCCACCCATGACCACTTCCAGATTTCACATTTACAATTATTATAATTAATAATTAATCAATTTTGGCATAATAAAGACTGTACCACAGCTCAAGTGCTGATATTGTTCCTTTATGTGTTGAGAGGCCAATGAATGAATGCCAATATCTCATGATATAGCACTCCTCCCACATTTCCACATGTATTGCCCCTCATTTAATACTTGTAACCCAGCAACCTAAAAAACAGCTAGTGGACATACAAACTAATTAGGATCATCAGATTTATATAGGGCAAAAATGAATTACAACTATTTATCACAACAAATATCTTGGTTTTTTTAATTAACAAATTCTGTTTAGCTGTCGAACATAACAACTACTGTTCAAGGCATTTCTGTTGCTTCATTAGAGGCAAGGGAAGTCAGGACTGAAACCAAACAGAGATCAGCAAAATTCTCAACTGTTACTCGTGACTGGCAGGAAGTGACTGAGTTATCATTTTTTACATAGTTGTCCGACTGACTATGTTAATGAAACTGTGCTATCACACCAATAATATACTTGTGAATACTTGTGCCTATGATCGTAGCACCACTGTCACAGTTTGGCACTCTCTCTGTGTTATTGCTTAAAACATCCATTCTGTGGCAGTCTAGAGAAAAGAGGTAAACATCCACTGACCCCTTCATGTACTCACTGTTGTGTTCGCTCAAGAAGTCCCACCCATACAGATTAACTTGCTTGTAAATGGTTCTCACCTTGCACGACACCCCAGGGGTACTGTCTGGCCCTCACGGTTTTGTTCCCCACTTTGACCTCTTCCACGCTCCCAACCACAGCAAACGGCAGATGGGCCTGCACAGGAAAAGACATTAGAGTGTTAAAAAGGTCAAGAGGTCAGAAATGTAACAGGAGCCATTGCCAGGGAGTCCCAGCTCCTTCTTTCGTTCTGGGTTACACTTTCTTAAAGAGTTTTTTTTTTCCTAGTTTCAACACAGCAACCATTTCCCAAATTGAATTCCACTACACACAACTATGCTACATACACATAACGTATATTATTATACATTAACATAATGTATATTGAGGGTTTAATTTTAAATAAAACCTGTGCCACTGTGCCTGTTGTCTCCTTTATCTTTCACAATTAGACCACACCAGAGAGAAGTGTGACCATGTTGACATATGAGTTGCACCAGAGCTCTTTTAAGTTTAATATGTGGCTCAGCTGGGGCTCAGAGGACTATTTTGTTGCACACACTTTCCTATTGCTCTCATAGCTACTATGCCTTGTTTAGGGGCGACAGCAAAGGCAAAAAATATGCCCGATACGCAACCTCAAAAATTAGGTGGAGAGTTGAAACCAGCTGGCTGGTTGCAGCTCAGAGGAACAAGCTGGTGAGTGTGGGCGCTGATGTAACCGACTATGAATAGATGGGGATACTGTACAAGGACTGTGCCGGGGAGAACCAAATGCAGTCTTATTTATCCATGAGAGAATTTACTGTTTGTGCATTTGAACATGTGTGGGTGTGTGTTTGAGCCGTGTGATTATGCATCATCCCCACTATAAAATTGGAACTAAAAAGGCTGTAGAAATGTATCTGTACTTGCTGCCTGAGAAAAAGTGGATGTTCAATTATATCGCTATATGCATATTTTGTCAGTATTTGTATTTTTTGACAATGGAAAGCGTACAAATGGACATAGAGCCTATTTTATGAAAACATGTGCGGCCATCAAGTTCATAAATTATTTTTAATAATGGACAAAACTGAGGAATAGGGAACTGGTGCAATCAAACAGAGCTAGTGTTCATACAATATTGTGTAAAACTATGTTGTATATACTCCATGTAGCACATGCCCGGGGTGAGCTAGTATTTGCAAATATTTGTAGTGTTTTTCCCCTTATACAGTCACAGATTTGTGGGATTGCAAAGTGTTTTAATAAGAAGACATCATTACTTTTGAGCATGTGTTAAAAGCAATAAAATCGTGTTAACATATGCTGATGTTACCAGATGTGTAACACATGAGCTAGTTAAGACATGCTGTTACAAATCAGCAGGCACACAGATGTGTCAAAAGTCCTAGGAACAATGCTATCATTTCTATATTCACAAAACCTGTCTGCAACAAGGGAAGTTTGAGTATATCTTATTATCTACATTCAACACTTACAGTGCTAAAATTAAGGAAAGGTAAAAAGACAGAAGGACATGAGATTTCTTGAGTGTGTGTTGGAGTGTCACAAGATGACTTACGTTCATGGAGGCGTTGATCTCGCTGACTGCTTCATCATCCGTTGGAAACTGATATATCTGGACACCGTTGCTCACCAGCTCACTCATAATCTTTATTTTGAATTTATGGAGCTCACTCTTGGAGATTGTGTCAGCTTTTGCAATTATCGGTATTATATTGACCTGAGGAAAGGATGAGAAAAAGAAGGGAGGGGGGGATTGTACTCATTTAAACAATGATATTGAAAGTGTAGAACATTGTCTTTGCTTTGTGAGTCTGACAAAAGATGATACACATTCCTCTACTGAAAGCTGCTTTGTGTTAAAGCATTAGAGTATACATAGAGTATATTATGTAATGGTTTGGTTTAGGCTGGTCTGACATGCATCATCACTACAGGACAACAAAATGTGCCTCAGTATGATGAGAGAAGATGCACAGAGAATCAACCCAATGTTTCCAGAGAATTACGGATTAGAGCAATTAACTTCCCTTTGTCAGCGGGTCATAAACAAACACCGAGAATAAAGCTAAATTAAACATACTGATAGCTTGATTTAAAACATAAACCAAACTAAATACATTGCTAAATATGGCGGAAGAAGCAGACAAGACCATATGCAGCAAAACTGTACAATGAATAATCTCAGTCAGAACCCCGACAGATACATAAAACAAACAGTGATTATGAAAACAAACAAGGCTCCATCTCCAATCAGCAGCAGATGTGCAGAAATAAACACACAGTTTTTCTGCATTCCTCTGTACGGCTGCATAACCCAAATCACTAACCGGGAGGATGAGGAGGATCCCCACAGATTCCCTCATCAATTCCATAGTGTGCCTCAGAGCAAGAGCCAGAGCTTGTTAGGAGTCAAATTACAGGCTCATCGTACTTTATTGGATCATTAATTTACAGCAGGGTGGCCAGTATCATGTTTTAACTCTTACTTAATCACTATCCAGTGCTGACAACAGCCTTGTGTGGCCGCTGAAGCTGATGGGAGTGTCTTGTCATGGTCAGTGAGGAGGGAGGGGACAGTGATATTTGTTCACTTCCCACAACCGGTTTTTCCCAGCTGGCTAAAGAGTATTCCCAAATAGTTCTCATTGTTTGTTCTGAACAACTAGGAGCACCAGATGGGTAGCTGTAACCACATTAAAGCAGTTCACATGTAAAGTAAATTTGCACAGCCTAATATTTCTGTCACTTTTTGTTTTAATCTTACAGGGGTCAAATATCTGTATATGAATATACACGTATAGTGAGCCTTGTTTTTTAAGCCTATATGTATATACATTTTAGAAAATTGACACAATTAAATCCATTAAAACTATCGCTGGGTTACTTTGATGGTAAAAAAAAAAAAAAACTTTGACAAGTAATGATTCCCAGGCAAGTGCTGTATTTGTAGACATTTATTCACAGAAGACACAATAAGAAGAAGACCTCTGAGAGTACAAGTGACAGTAAACCTAAAAATAGGTGTATCATGACTGTGTGTTTAGATTTGACTGAGTTATGACTCAGAGAAGTGTGATTTTTAACACAGCTCCAACTGCTGACCATGCTGCCAAATGGGCCAAATCAGCAGGCCAAACGGGCCAAATCAGCAGGCCAAACTACGATAACCGACTTCTCAAGGTTTTTAGAACAAGCACTTGTACCACGCAGTATCTTTGCCTCAGGTCTCTCCATGAGTGAACCTCCATGTCAACTCACAGTTGAAAACCTTTGATCTGGTGCAAACGGGCAGATGAAATCTAACCAAAATTACTATAAACACCCAAGTTTCAGAAAAAATATAAGTAAAGATAAAAAAACATGTTCATTTGACTGATTATAGGGAAAATTATGAGACACTTAAGTAGGAAATATCAATCTTAGTTGACCTCTTCATCCTAATATTAGATAGTTAACTGCTAATGATTTCCTCCTATTGAAGAAAAACATGTTCATTTAAAACAAAGAACACATTCCCTCTTATCTCTCTTCCTGCCTTCATCTACCACGAACCACACGCACTCTGGTGGGCTTTCAACCATCCTTTTGTAGGGAGGGGTGATCCTTACCCCATTTACAAGAATAACACCATTGTCTCGCCTTGACAGCAAACTCTACAGTCTGAGAGGAAAGTTGTTTCTGGTCTGCCTCCCTGGTTTTTCCTGTGACAAGACTATCTGGCAGACATGATTGCTCTGTTCATTTATCTTTAGTTTCCAGATTAAAGTTAATGGTCACACACACAGGAACACCAATCATCTTGACGTGGATAGAACTGAGCAGATATCAAAACTGTGACTGTGGAACCTAATTTTACTCTGATGAAGATGAAGCCACTCTTGAAATACCTCTAATGGCAATGACAACAACAAATGTAATTCTTGATAACATGATGATGACTTGATGACATTCTATACTTACTTAACAGTAAATCAGTTCACTAAAAACTAACCCATTTGATGACAATAAGTTAAACAAAGTTATTTGTGATTGTCGGACTCAGCAGGTTTATTTTTTCTGGTTAACCTGTAGACATCTAGATATTATAGAAATAAAACTGCTAAATGTGCAAACGCTGACAGCGGTGGTGAGTAGCTGCTGCAAATATTTATTCTATATAGAAAGAGACCACTGCATAATCAATCCCATCAAGCCTGTGAAGCAAAACAGTGTCACATCCACACCGTGGTCACTCAACACTGGCTTGCTCTCAGATAAAACAGCGGCCATATTTCACATAGTGGAAAGATTGCTGGGACAGCGCCACTGAGGTCAGAGTGGTGTTCCCTGTGGCCACCCACTGGTGCACTCACAATGATGTAAATCATTTTGAATAGAAGCACCAACATTGCTGTTATTTTACACTTTGGACACTTTCTGTTTATACAAAACTGGAAAAGGCCTGCGAATAACCAAAAAGCCCATCAGAGCCACAGTGGAGTTTGGTTCATATGAGTAGATTGGGAGATTTAGGCGAGGCAAGCAGCTTTGCTTTCACTCATATTAGGACAGAGTATAGCAGGTAAGCTGCTGACCGCTTTGCTGTGGTTCATATACAGGGATAAAGATAATATATTTAGCTCAGGTGAGCTTGCTTCAAAAAGGAGTGGGTACAGAGAGTTGGCTGTGTATGTCGTGGTGGTTTGGATGGCACCAAGAGACAGTTGGCAATAGCAGGCTGCCAGGTTTTGATCACTCTGTTGGCTGGTCAACACAGCACAGAGGGTCAGTGGTCAACGCTGTCACTTCACAGCAAGAAAGGTACTGAATTTGGATCTTGGCCCTTTGTATGTAAAGTCCTCCCTTATTACTAGTGTCGATTTCCAGAACACTATTCTGTTTTCCTCAAAGAAAGAATTAAGAAAAACAAAAGTACTGCTGTTGCTCTTGACCATGACATTGGCCTTATACAGTTGGTCCTCAGATAAAACTTGGTGTCTTAAGTAGTAAGGATGGGTTAAATCAATTACAAAGTCTAAAAATAAATCAAAACACTCCTTTTATTGATTTACATTTAGTAGATTTAAACTTCATCAAGACGAACAAATCTTTGTTCTGAGGTCTTCATAAAACTATTAAATCTTCCATGAGTGTGACAGTTGGTATCCGGTCATTGTTTTGAATAGTATCAGGGGCGATCTGGCAGAGATGCGCGGCCGCGCGTTGATAGCTGGCAGAGGTAAGCCAGCAGGTTTCGGTCACAAGCTGACCATCTGCTTTGTTCTGGATTCATTATCATTGCATCACCAGACACAAGCAGGGCCAAACGCTGCCTCTTTGTCTTTCCTACAGAACAGCAGTGCTACCAGTATTAATATGTATGAGTTCCTCAAAGGTCATGGTGCTGTAAATCAATTTGACTCATGTACCAAAACTTTATTGACGAATGTTAAGATGTTGTGTCAGAATGTAAGTAAGCATATACGCACCACTGGAATCATTCAAGCAAATGTAAACACATTAATGGAAGTTTGTCATCTATATATATGATGCAGGTTTCTCAGTTTATGAGCTTGTAGAGATCCAAGATGTCAGTATAATCCTTCTCTGCATCAGGTCAAACAACAAAACAGAGTTCAAGACACAAACCTTCGCTTTTGCATTTTAACTGCCTCTTTCTCTGTCTTTCCTTCTCTTCTGGGATTTGTGAACATGTGCTTAGACATGTTTTGAGGATCTTTTTCCCTTCCAGAAATTCCACCCTTACCATACTTTGAAACCAAAATTTAAGATCAAAACCCACTGAATGGTTTCAGCTGTGTTTATCACTGAGGAGTTTTCAAAAACAATTTGATCAAAATGTCAGGTTGAATTAAATTGAAGTGTGGATGGTATCAAGCAGAAAGAAATCATCATTAGCAATACCTTATATGTGTAGAAATGACTCAAGACTAGATTAACTCAAGACTTACTCATAGACTCAAAAATTCAAGGAAAACCCCAGCAATGACCACTTAACTCCAAAGATTTCCCAAAAATGAAAATACAAATAATAAAATCTTGATAAACACAACATGGCTCCAACTTAGTTGTTAGAATTCACTTACTTGCCCTTTCGGACTGTTCTTCCCCACTAAACCTCACTCCCTCCCCTCTCCCCTTCTTTCACGGTCCAAGTGCTGTTGTGATGAGATTTTCTTTCCACCAGTTGTCTCATTGAGGCCAAGCCAGCGATTGTGTCTCCACTGAGCCGCACTCATCGGATGTATGGCAAAGCACAGATCAACTTACCAATCAATACGTGTAGTAAATACTCGCACAATAGTAATGAAAAAGCCACAAATCAATGTGGTTCTGAATGTGACTATTGACTAGTGTACGGCTGACCTGTAAACAACCGTTTCTGTATTACAGATGGCAATTCAGTAAATGGGACAGACATCCAACACAGCAAATCAAACATTTTCACTTGCAAAAACATGCAATATGTTGGCTTTTAAGAGTGAAACTATTCATATAGTGCCGGCCTTCCCAAAACTCGGGGCTGTTAAAGTCTAAACCTTCAACCTTTTCTATAGGAACGGCCAAAGAACTTCACCCCAAATAATGCAATGTGAACTTTTGCTTGAAATTCTATACGTTGAAATGTAAGTGTGCATTGTCATTGCAACGTTTTTCTTTTCACTTTATTCTTTTGGGACGTCCACACCCTAGCAAAAAGATCAGGGACCTCCACGTCTCAGTGAAAGGCACACCACTCACGGAGAAAGGGAGGTCAGATTTCAGCAAAACTGATAGCTATTCACAGACAATGGGACAGGCCTGCGAGTGTGTGCTTTTTGTGCGAAGGGGAAGGCCACAGCTTGTATATGGATGTGGTGTTTGTGTGTAAATTGTGCGTACCTTGCTGTCCAATTTCTTCATCGTTACAAGATCCAGGGACTTGAGGGAGTGTCCTGTCGGGGCGATGAAATAAAGGCAGATGTGAATCCTGGTGTCGTGGTAGTTAAACAGCGAGCGTTTGATCTTCAGCTCTTCCTGGAGATAGTTTTCAAATTGAGTGTCAATGTAGTCAACGATGGGCTTGTAACTGTGGAGACAGCCAAAGAGAAACTGTAAGGATTTATGTCTGTGGGCAAAAGCAGAAATATTTGTCTTCTTATTCATACACTGGTAATGAGTATAAAAGGAAATGTGGACTTGTCACTGGGGAAATGAACCAAGACAGTTGTGTTTTCAGTAACTGTGTGATCTGATTCTATGCCAAGATCTCAGCTTAGAGCTGTACAGCTTAGTGCTGCATGAAATTTGTGCTCGGCTTATGGGAGTCTGGTCGAAACAAATCACAGAGGCTGCAAAACGTCCTGTCCTTTCTCACAGAGCTGTGATGGCCTCCGCAGCCTACAGTTTCTCTAGTAAATCAAATAAATTAAGAATGTGGTAGGAAAGCTAAACAAACAAGACCAGAAAGATAAGGGAAATTTAACACAGGTCCATTTTTTTTGGCTGCGATAACAAAAAACTAACATTTTAGATACCACTGATTTTTCTGAAGCAGATTTGTCTAACTGACTAGAGCTTACAACTTATTCAAAAAAATATTTTTCTTGCAGAAACAACCCCAGATTTCTGCACTGGAAAATATTATCCACCAGTACAAATGAGGTAAATAAAATCATGTTTACAAACATGACATTAACACATTTCAACTACCATAGCTTGTGTTTCATGGAGAGTGTTTTCATTGGGATGCACATACTTAGTAGCAATGAGGAATCAAAACAAGTGCCAATGATTCTGCACTATTTCCTCACTGCAGTGATTGTCGAGTTAAATGTCAAAAAACATGAAATGTCCTTTATTAAAATCATTATGTTTTCTTTAATGCAGCAGTACGGTTCGTCTCTGCAAGCTATTTTTAATGTCTTTCAACCCCAAAATGGTTACCAGCCCGACAACGTTAGGTCATGAGACAGTTTGAAGATAATTTAAGCCACATTCTCTGCGAGCTTGTTTGCAACAATCTGCAGCTTTAATTCATTCAGTTCATTTGGAAGAGATGAGAACAAGACCATCAGAAGCCAGCCACATATTTAATAAACTACATCATAGCGGCCTGAAATGCAAGTTTCTCTCAAGGGAGGCTGTGGTTTATTAGCCACCACAGAAGTCTCACAATCGTAGTTTAGTTCTTGTGGTGCCACTTGACATTTTCAGACTACATATCTCTGCTATTTGGATAATTTGGTCATTTGGTTGCAATAATCTGTGTCTAAGAAATTTGTTCGCTTTTCATAATTCCACCAGCATCACCTCCAATTTAGGCCACAAAAATGTTTTAAACAGACATTGCTATGTTGCTATACTTGGACACTACATGACCACCTCAGCCTCATTGGTTACAGCTAGTGTTACTTCTGTTTTTACGTGTTTGAAAATGAGTCTGCTTTAGACCTTGCTTGTCTAATTCCCTATATCAGTCGCATCAGTAGATGTACAGACTTCTTCATCACGTCACACAGAACAAAAACATCGGATATAATGCAATACATTTTCAGCAGTAAGCAAGACAGTATGCGGAGTTCTTCTCGTTTGTACAATTTTTGTGTGAGAAATAAAGGAATCTTTTTCAGTGATAATCTTTCAATCTTATTTTGTTCTAAAAAAATCTAGAGACAATCATATGGTGAACCTGGTGAATATCAGTAACTGTTCGCACAAGTGTATCGTTACATCCTTAAAGGCTATACTTGTAATCTTGTCAAATTTTCAACAGCAAGTCTTCCCTCATCCTATTTTACAACCCAGTTAGCTAAAAAAATATATATTCTATATCCTCAGCAAGCACCATGTTTACAGTCATCTGTCCTCTCCCTTCACATCTATCTTCAATCTTCTCTGTGGAATGCACCAACTCTGACCTTTTGAGGCTCTCTGTGTGCATTTACAGTCTGTTGAAGAGTCTGTCCTTCGGCATGTTGGTTTATACAGCCTACAGAGAAAGCTGCTATCAAAGGGCGTGAGAGTGCTGCTTGCTGGCTTGGTCACAACAAGAACACTCCATTCCACAGCCGAATGTTTAAAAAAAAAAAAAAAAAAAAATCAACTATTTCCTCTTTATTGCTGTCCCACCTCGTCTTATTTCCATCCCACAGAGGAAACCGAAATGTGCAGAAAACCTGGACTGATATTAGTTTGTGTCTGTTTCTCTCATTTGTATCCCTGGCAACGTTGACCTAATTTGGGCATAACTATGGTGTTGTCATCTTGCAAATAGAAAAGGAGGTTTTGGATAAGGATTGTCAGGAAAATCTGTCGTTACAACAGTCAGGAGTCAAATGGAAAACGCTCTGAAGCTCCTCTGTTTCACGCATGTGCTCCAACTATCAGATGGATGGAATTTCACTCATAGGTCAATACAATAAGTAGTGTTTATCAGAGTACAGCAAGCTGTCCTGACGCAATAAATGGCACTGTTGGTAAGATTTACCAAGGTCTGGGACTCAGTTGTGGAATGTGAAAGACCAGATTCACACTGAAATGCAGTCAAAACAGATTATTTACATCCTGAATGCATCATGAAAAGGCCAATTTTAACCAAAAAGATGCAGATGTAGTATCTTTTGACCCGCACACCAGCATTAACCATCTTGTCACCGTCATTTCTCCATCCTCACCTATCCTCTTTGTTGATCTGATCACCGAAGCCAACCGTGTCAACAATCGTCAGTTTGAGGTGGACGTTGCTTTCTTGCAGGTCGTATGTTCGCGGCCGCAGATAGACCCCGTTCTGATAATGGCTCGCCTCTTCGTTCTCGAACATGGTATTGAAGAGGGTGTTCATTAACGTTGACTTGCCGATACCAGTCTCCCCTGTGGATGGTAGGAAGTAAGAGAGAGAGAGAGTTAAACTACTTGGTCACTGGGGAGCGATTCATCAGCTTTCCGACATGAGGTTTTTATTGCAGCAACACAAGTGGGAGGCATTTCTTTCATGTCAGGAAAAACAACAGATTGTTGCTGTTTTGTTGTAGTTAAACATGTTGTTTTGAGGAAAATAAATCAAGTCAAGATTGAGGGGAAATGTTCAGTAGTTATGGCATGGCCTGTCACGTCCGTGAGTTGCTAATTGTACAACAAGACAGAGTTCTTGTTGTACACACACACAGTCTGTCATGCACTTTGCACACACGCTGTCACTTGGTACTCACCTACACAGAGAATGTTAAAACAAAATCCCTGTGTGACCGATTTACTGACCAGTTGGTCAGGGAGGCTGTCAAATCCAACATGTCCGCCCAAACTCAGGTTACGCTTCTCTTCATTCTGACGAGACACAAGCAAAACAAAACAAAAACATTAAAAGCCTGGCTGCATGAGAGGAAAACACACATGGGGAAGACATTAGACAGAGGTAGGAAGAGCTGGTTGCTGAAGCCTTCACATGCCTATGCAAATGAACATCAGAGAGCCTCTGTATGTTCTGCAGATGCAAAACCAATCGCCTAACATTATGACTTAGGTAATCGGGGCCTACAGTGAGGATGAGCTTTATGAACAATCCCTCACAAGCATGATGAACTAAATACATTTCCACACCCAGAGAAGGTGCACCTTATAAGAAGCAGCCGGAGAAATGAATGAAAAACTCATTCAGAGATTGAATACGGAGTATGAATAATGAGAATATCCCCAATTGGGAATATACTCTAAGTTACTAGTTGTGAATTAAGCAGTTATTTGGAATATTTACATCAAGAACATCAACATTTCAAAGCTACTGCTTCATTACTTTGGCACTGATGGATGAATACATGATAAACGATTTCTCTTAACTTACCCCCATATTCATTTTTGTTTTTTCAGTACAATAAAATTGAGCACAGCAAACAAAACAAAAACACGATGTCCACTCAACACTGCTAAAGTAAATCACTGCAGAGACCGTGCACAACCACTCTGTGATCAATGTGCATTTTGGAGAGAGCACCCTGGACCTAAAAGCACAAAGATTACCGATACACGACAGCAAGACAGGCAGACAAAACTATTGGGCTGTAAGCGTTTTCACCTTTGATCTCCCTTATCTCACCCGTCGTGTCTGAAGGTGAGACAGTCAGTGAGAAGAGAGAAGTGTTAGCGCCGTAGAGGAGGGGGAAACAGACAGCACCTTGAGATGAATGGGGCCACCCGAGCTCGTCTGGCTCAGCCACGAAGGACTGCATATTTGAAGGCTGATGTCACCGAACACAAGGCAGCCTGAGTGCAGAGCAGAGCTGAGCTGAGCTGAACGCAACCCCGGCTGTACGAAACGCAGACGTGGAGACGGGCTCTGCATACCTACACAGACGGGTTATAAACCTGACTGAACTGCACAATAAAATATGAGCACTGAGTATGTGTGTGTGTGTGCAAGTATGAGGGGAAAGAGAAATGGGGCTTAATGTATCAAGCAACACCGCTGGAGTAAGCTGACGTGAGCTGAGCTAGGCGATACTGAGCTGAGCTGCAGCGCGCTGGGAGTTTATTACATTACATTCACACTCGTGTTCGAAAATCAATACAAGCGGTAAATATGCGTTAAGTGTTTTTAAATGCGATGTTCTTCAGCCCACTGAGGAAATGTGTTTGATGGCGAGCCAGGTAGCAGCAAAAACTTGCCTTAACTGTTACTGTTGTGTTCATAGAGGTGTCCATATGAACACTGTAACACGCTGTAATCCTTTCTCCTGTTCATACGACACCCAAATAATATTAAAGGACCAGTGTGGAGGATTTAGTGGCATCTAATTGCATGAAATTGCAGATTGTAACTCATTTAAAAGTGCTGACGTGTGTATTTGATGACCTGGGAGCGAGAACGGGCTGTGAAGTGAGCGTAAAAGGAGAAACCGTGATGGCGAAACTCGTGAAGAATGCAAAAGCCCCTATCTACAGCCAGTGTTTAGT